GCCATCCTCTTCTTCGAGGGACTATACAATCTTCTCTTGGGTTCCTCCTTGTTTCCTAGCTCCTCTGGCAGTATGGAATGTAGGCTAGTGATATATGGTTCAGTGCTTAGCTACGAGTGTCCGTTTCTGCTTTGAACAGCAACTGGATGAAGACTCTCCTTCCTCTCCCTGTCCCCGGGCTCCAATTTGGTCAGGGGTTCTTGTCGCCATCCTCTTCTTCGAGGGACTATACAATCTTCTCTTGGGTTCCTCCTTGTTTCCTAGCTCCTCTGGCAGTATGGAATGTAGGCTAGTGATCCTTTGCTCTATGTCTAAAAATCAAAAATGAGTGTGTACATACCATGTTTATCTTTTCGTGTTTGGGTTACCTCACTGAGGATGGTTTCTTCTAGTGCCATCCATTCATTTTTAAATACAAGCCTGTCAAATGTAACTCGTAAAGATATAATAATGAGAAGTATATAAATGTACCTATTTGTTTGTAATTAAATTAATTTTTGGATATTGATGTCTATATGCACTGAAGTACTAATTTAAATTTTCTGATTACTTTTGAAAGCATAATTGAGATTTTGGCAGGTTGTTAGGCTGAGTATTTTCATGCTGATGTTAAATGGAATAAGGTTTAATAATACTTTAAAGCTTTGACTTTCTGTATGTTAAAAACAAATATATATTTTGTTTATGTAATTTACAATCATTTTGTGTTTTGTTTACTTCCAAGGAGATGGAAATTAATCTATGTTGCAAAATTATAACACTGATTCTGTAAGAAGTAGGCCATTGTTTGAAAAAGTCAGCATTTAGAGACTGAAGATGTAGCTCGGTGGTAGGGTGCTCACCTAGCACATGTAAGTCTCTGAGTTCAATCCCAAGTACTGTGAAAAGGAAAATAATAGAAAATATTTAGAAGAATTTGCAGTGGCTCTTGTTTCTGCCAGATACTAAGTTTAAGTGCGAGGTATGAAATCAAACACTGAGATATCTCAGGTCTTGTGATTACCCTCCTTCTGTACTTTTATCTCCTTTGCTAAATGTCTGGAAGTGGGAAACAGGCTCTCCTGGAATGCTCAAGAGATGAAGAAATACCAGGATACTTTATCTGGAGAAAGTTCAGTGTTTGAGTTGGTCCTAGTTAACGAATGCATGAGCACAGTGTTGAGACCAGGCCTTATCCCAGACAATTTCCATTTCTTCATTGTTTCAAATGACCTGCATGCAATTTCTGAAGTGATAAATGAACAATAATCTTGTAATAAATTCAGGAATAATGGAACAGTAGTTGACTTGCTGCTGGAGAACTATTTTTGTATATTTTATTTACTTAAATAATTATAAATTGATTCATATATAGTATAAAAACATGGAAAAAACATACATTTGTCTCTACAGATGACAAAAGGATTTCAGGAGAAATTATTATAATTTGTTTATAATTAGAAACAAA